GCCCATTATGGCACTAAGAACAGCGGGTGTCTGCTCCTCAGCATCCCAGTGCAGCACAACTCAGCTACCTAGAAGAGGGAAGTGCAGAGCCCACACCAAGCCAAACCTCTGCACCTTGGCCTACACTGTCTGCACCCACAGATTTGAAAGATCTCTCCAGTGTCTCCTGTGTGGTCCTGCTGCCCACGTGCGACTAGTATTTCCCCAGTGAGAGCTATCTTCCCTCTAAAGATACCATCCTCTTCCTACGTAAGTCTCGTCTCCATGATAAATTACACGTTTATGTTCACCCCTCCTTCCTCCCCAGAGTACTCTCATGCAATACCATACATCATCCTTTTAAACCTTTTTCCCCTCCCCTTTCCCATTGTTAACAACTTGGCTGGTCTCTCCTGACTCACTCACTGTTCCCAAGGGCCCCACCATCGGATGGAGACAGTGCAGCAGCCATCAGCTATAGCTGCGGCAGTCATCAGCGTGAGTTCCAAGCCCAGCAAGCAGGGCACTGTAAGAGAACCATGCTGTAGTTGCTTCAAATGCTCCCCAGAATGCATCTTCTCTCCTTACATCAGATCTGTGTTTTTGAAAACAGATGACCCTTGCAAGGCTGCACCAACCTTGTACCTGACTTGCAGTGCTGCACTCGACTCTGGGGCCCCAGCACAAGAGGGACAGGGAGCTGTGGGAAAGGCCACAAAGATGGTCAGAGGGCTGGAACACCTCTCCTGTGAAGACAGGCTGAAAGAGCTGGGGTTGTTCTGCCTGGAGAAGGCTCCAGGGAGACATTATAGTAGCCTTCCAGTGCCTGAAGGGGTCCTATAGGAAAGCTGGAGAGGGAGTTTTTACAAGGGCATGTAATGATAGGATAGGGGAAAATGGCTTTAAACTGATAGATTTAGGTGAAATACAAAGAAGTTCTTTACAGTGAGGGTGGTGAGGCACTGGCACAGGTTGTCCAGAGAAGCTGTGGCTGCCCCATCCCTGGCAGTGTTCAAGGCCAAGTTGGAAGGAGCTTGGAGCAGCCTGGTCTACTGGAAGGTTTCCCTGTCCATGGCAGGGGGATTGAAACTGGTGAGCTTTAAAGTCCCTTCGAATCCAAACCATTCTTTGGTTCCACAAGCTATGTGAACATACCCAGCTTAGCTTCATCTTCACAGGGAAGGCACTGCACTACTGCAACTTACTCACTGATGGCCTGCCACATTTCCAGTCTACAAGGCCCAAGTGGTCAAAAGAAATACACAAGAGATTACAGCTTCACTTCAAAAGATTTTTTTTAATTTAGAAATGCAGTTATATACATAGAACAATTAAATTAAACTTTGTACAAATATTAAAATACTATCTTCACACCCACTGCAATGTACAGGATACCAGAAAATATATATAAAATAAAGCAAAATAAAACCAATTGAGTGACATCCTGCACAGCATCAATTATGGTTTTGTTTTTAAATCCCACATATATATGGAGTACCATTCTGCAAAATAATTCCATAGTGGTGCAATTCAGATAAAAAGAAAACACATACAGGAAAGAAGATTAATGCACAAAGGCAACCGATATCCCCTTCCCTTTGCATCAGTAACCACCAGCACCCTACCCACCGCATCTCAGACATCTGCTTCACAGCCAACCTCACTTGGCTTCTTTTGGAAGGAAGCACATTGGAGAAACATTTTCCAGCACAGCTCAAGTCACCTCCATCCTTGCTCACACGACGACAGAAGCAGCAGCACAGCTCAAGGGAAGCATATGCGGACATCAGCAGAACCTGCTCTGGTGGGTACATGCAGCTGCACACCCCTGCAGGGGCTTGTTGGGAAGCAAGTGCTGCACACAGGGCCCTGAGCAGAGGTGTGGGAAGCGGCTGCTCTGTCCTGGTGTGCACAGGCAGGAGGAGGGGGTGAAGGATTGGAAAAAGGCTTATTTCCTGTATAAAAATACAGTCTTAAAAGGAAGCCTGCTCTAGGAAACCTCTCTGCGCTTCCAATGTGTATCAGAGAATAAAGGTTTCTTAAGTTCTTCTGCAAACAAAGGTTTTCACAAAGAGCGAGTTTGATCTGCAGTTCCCTGGTAAGGACCGGAGGATGAGGACGGGGTGAGGCAGGACATTCAAAATGGATGGGGTTTATTGCATTTATATACAGAAACCAGAAAGTGACACTGATTTAACTGGTTACCTGGAGAGAGCAATAAGGCAGATTTTTTTTTCCTTTAAACACCTGCTATCGGAACAGCAATACCAGGTTTCACAAATGTGTTCTGACAAGGTCAGCGAGGAAATCTCAGTGGGTCCAACCAGCTGGAAATTGATTTTTTTATACAGCAAGCCTGCTGGTATCTGCTAAATCACCTAAACAAAGCACGAGCTTCCTTACAGCCCAGTCATGAATGCATTAGCTCACGAGCCTGCAGCATACCTCTGTGCAGTTACAGCCCTTCCTTACCCCCCTCCTTGGGTTCCCTTTTCTGTGCCACAAGTGACTTGGCCATCCCAGATGACTTCCAAGGGCTGAGCCTATTGATCTCTCAGCCTACTCCTTAGTACTGACCCAAGTCATCCACCTCTAGGAGCATCTTAGGATGTTTACTCCCAGAACACATGGAATAGATTTCTTCCTGACACACCTGACTTCTCCACGTGCTGAAAGGCCACGTAAAGGCTTCAGATACATTAAACAGTTCACCACACCGGAGCTGAAAGAACAAGCAGAAACCTCAGGGGAGATGTCTGAGGGGTGAACAAGCAGCATGCTTGCTGTGTAAGCATTCTTCTACACAGCAAGTTCCCTGGTGGTTAAGAAAAGGGATAACAATGCATTAAGCTCTTCTGCTTCCCAAACTCCTTCAGTTTTAACTTGGCAACAACTCCATAGGCTGACATGCTACAGCACGTCTCTCCTTCTGGCTTTGTTTTTCACCTCTTATGCAGTAGTGGTGGGGAGATGCAAGCTATTTAAAGTAAAACCACACAAACCCATCTCTTCCATCAATGCTGCTGACCACACCCCCCGCAGGGCAGCCTCTCACCCAATTCAAGCTAGCTCACCCTGAGCTGAGCTTCAGCGTGCAGATCCTGACTGGAGACTGTGTCAGCTTCACTTCCTGGTTCTCTCAGGCCGGACCAGTTCTGCCACACTTGGGCTGTAAACACTGAAGTAGGTTCAGTTTTCTTCATTTTTTTTAATCTATGCAACTGAAAGGGAGCAAGGAAGGTTTTCTATTGCACCTTAATAGTCTCAATTTCTGAAATGCCCCTTTTTAACGTATCGGACTCCAAAAATAACTGAAACATTTAAAATAAGTGCTGTTTTCATTTTCCCAGTGTAACTAAAGTGTTTTGCTGTTCTTGAATATCCCAGGATCCAGCATGTATGAGCACGAGATGATTATGTCAGGAGTGTTAAATGGGAAGAAATACCTCCCTTTGAATTCTTCTGCCAAACACGGGGGTGGGGGGGAGTGAAAGTGGCTGTGGCCCCATCAGAAAAAAAAATGTAAGTTAAACCCCCCAATAATGTGCTATGTGACACCCTGCAAGGCTGAGCCCTTATGATCTGAGCCAAGATCCAGGCTGCACCTACCTATGGCAACAGCCAAAGAGGCCACTCTGTGCTCAGAGGTAATGAACGCTCTCAAGACAGAGCGGAGCTCACCACTGAAAGATCCTTAAGCCTCAGCCCTTGCTCATATGAGACAGGACTGTGCAATTTAGGTTTTGTTGGGTTTTCTGATTGTTTGGGAGGGTTTTTTGGGGGGTGGGGTTTAATTTTTTATTTTTGTTCCTTTTTTAAAAAAATCTCAGCCCAGAAGCCTTCCCAATCCTTCCCAACCACAGAACGAAGACAAACACAAATGAGCAGCAATTGCTTGATAATCAGGAAAGTGAGGCCTTGCTCCCGCCTCCCTCAAAAAACCCTCATCGAGCAGACATCTCTCAGGTTCTTCCCTAGCCATTCTACCTCACTTCATATGAAAACAAACACTAAAGCTGAGAACACGGGCAAGAGGGATGTGATGCCTGCAAACCATTTTCCATGTTCTGGGTTGCAGGGGTGCCTGGGGCCTGTTCCCACAAGCGTTGCTGCAGGGGACAGGCTCTTGGGCAGGAGCTGTAAGTGTGAGCTGGGGTTACCAGCCAGCACACCACAGACCAGCCTGGGAGCTGCTGGCTTACCCTCAGCAAGCCAACAGAAGCTGCCTGTTTATGGTGATCACAAGATCTATGCTTGCATATTTCCCTCCACCTCCACACTTCCTGCTCCTTAGTAAAGCCATTTCCCACAATTTCTATAAATGAAACAAAACTAAAGCACTCTCTCATCTGTGCAGCTTGCTTCCTTCTCTTCCCCACCCAAATTGTGTTTTTCTCTCCCAAACTGGCAGCTGCTTGCTTTACAATAGCAGAGAGAGGCAGGGCCACGCAATACGTGCTTTCTACTGGCGGAACAGGCTCCTGTCCAGGGTGGAGTCAGGCCTTGGGATCAGCTTCCCGATTCATTGCAGGATTCTCCCACCAACCTGATGGCAACACTAAGTTAGAGCACTGTCCCTTGCAGGAAAACAGGATGTACCCAAGTTCTACACCTTGACGGCTGAGTGGCAGCTTGAGCAGACAGGACCTTAAGTGCATAGAGAGCAACTCCTGCTCCAACTTGGTTAGGTAGCAGGAAAGAAGTCAAAGTCTCATACTCTTCCCTCCATACTCCCTTCCTTACCACTGCGCTCACTTGATCCCTCTGTCCTGACAAACCAGCAAACGAGACAATTTGCCCAAGGTAGAAGGTACAAATTAAATACAAGCTTTCCATGCTTATCTTCTAAAGTTCCAATAGCAGACGCGTAAGCAACATTTGCTCCCGACAATGCCTGAAGCTGAGACACTGCAGCCCATTGTAAAGGGACATGGGATTTTCCCCACCCAAACTGAACAAAAAAATACCCATAGGGAATTTACCAAATCCCTGTGTTAATGCAAGGTAAAATGAGCAAGGAAGAAGTTTAAAATACTGTATTTTTAAATTAATAACATCCCTCTAAAACAAGGATAGGGAAAATAGGATTTTTCCATTCACAGGCACATGCTGTCCCAGGTGTCCTGGGATTTAACAGTTAATCAGGAACAGGAGCAGTGTGTACAATGGGTGGATACTGTGGCTAATCCCCATTTCCAGGAACTGGAGCTAAGCCACAGTAATTTTATATATAAAGGTGATGCATCACTTTTACCAAGCACTGTGTCGGTATGTTCCTGGGGCAACAAGGGTGAGGATGGTGAAGATCATACAAGCCAAAAGCAAAGCAGCAAAGACAGTAACCCTATTTACCAGTACGCTACCACATGATGTGTAAGGCCATGACATTTTGCTCCTTCAACTCAAAAATTTAGCAGCTTCTCGCAGGGCAAACACTTCCCTGGTTACTTCAAGATAGTTAGGACAAGGTACGTGCATCTAAGAAGCCAACTCTTCTTGCTGAAACCAATCCCACGGAACACCATCCAGACCTCCCTGGTGAAGAACCTTACAACCACAATGCCTTTGTGACTGGATCACCTACCTCAGATGAACGTGGCTTCCTGCAAAATGAGAGTGCTGTTAACAGCAACCAGGATGTTCTGACCTGCTGTAGATAATGGCGGGGGCAGAGGTATATGTACTTTTGGATTTTCTTTTCCCTGTTACCAGAACTTAAAATAATCTTCAAAACCTAGGTTCAGGAATAAGCTATGGTGTCCTCTAGCACTGCTGTCAATGTAACCAGCTTTCCCTCGCAGCAACAGGCAACTGTGGTGGGTTGAGAAGACTTTTTAAATGCTATTTACTCCCAGCCACAAGGAAGGAGCCCTTCTTTGTGGGCCTGCTAAAGCCCATTAGGATACAACAGCAGACTCTTGCTGTATGAAGCTAGGAAGACAACCTCTGAGATGGCAGCTAACCAGGATTCAAGTACCAACGTACCTAGTGTGCCTGGAAAGGTAACCTGGGATTGCCCCACTGGCACTAGGCATTTACTACCTGTGGCATTTTTTTCTCTTGACATTTTCAGATACCTGAACCACTTCCAGATTAGATCTCAAAGTAGAGATATGACCTAAGGAACTTAAGCTTTAGCGCAGAACCACCTTAACTGAAAAAGCTTTGAGACACACAGCTTATTCAGAAGAGCAGGGCCACAAATTTGGTACCAGTTCTGATGTCTCAAGTAAATGGGGCTAACTCATAGTTAACACAGGGCTGGTTAACTGAAAGTCCCTTCCTTCAAGCTTTCTGGGCTCTGCTAACCACTGCCCACTCTCCAAGGCTCTTCTACAACCTAACACCAGGAGCTGTTCTGGCACCAGAACAAAGCTGAAAGGGTTGTTTTGGTGGTGGTGCAGTCCCAGCTTCTAGAAACATGGCATGATCAAGTGGGCTGCACAGGTAGAGAAGGAAGAAGGAGACACAAGTGATCTTCAGGAATGGACTCCTGTGGAGACGGTTCTGAAACGGGGGCAGAGGGCATTCCTACACGTTGGACTTCTCAGCCTTCAGTGCTCTATCAATTCCCAATGAACTGTTATTGCACAGCTAAGTTGTCACACAGGCCATCTCATTTGAGGCGCTCCTGGACATCACAAGCTGCCCCTTAACTGGGATCCCTCCCAAGCCCAGCTTCAGTCCCAGTGAGGCGTTCTGTCCTGCCCTATCACAAAGAGGATGCTGGAAGAAGAGCCTATGTAACATATATATGTATATATAAATCGTCTGCACCCAGTGAGCAAGCGGCTTTAGCTACTGCTCTCTGGGCAGCGGAGGGGCTAGAGAGGCTAATAAGCTGCAACAAGCCAGTGTGAGGAGGAGAAAGGCACAAGAAAAGAGCAGCTCTTCAGAGACTGCTGTCAAACATCTGGCTGGGGAAGAGGAGAGGAGAGCTCAAATCCACTCTGTTCCTTGAGCCCCTGATGCTGATGGAATGGGGAAGCCAGCACTGCACCAACTCCACTGGTGCATCCAGGAGGCAACCTGGCGACATCCTTTGGATCTTCAGCTGAGGGGCGTCTCTGCGTGGAGGTATCCAGGGCACAGCTCACAAGGACGGGGAAGGCTGCACAGAGTGCTTCTGTCCTGAAGGCAGGGGGAAGGGAAGAGGAAGAAATCCAAGAGGAGAAGGCTAGACAAACACAGCAGGCCTCATGCTTCCTTCAATAAGGGAATATCTGAATGGTGGGGAGAGAAAAAAGAAAAAGTAGTCAAACTTCTGCTGTTCAATGTCAACAGAAAAACTACTGTTGCAAGCAAGACAAGCTCGTGGTAACGCAGTCTTCCTATCATCATACCACAGCAGAAGGGACCTCTGGAGGACTGCCTCAACCTGCCCCTGCCAGCTCCGGCCTTGAAATATCTCAAAGGACAGCAAACTCCATCATGTCTCTGGGTGCCCATCTGAGTCCTGCACTACTCTCCTAGCACAAAATGTTTTCCTAAAGCCCAACTGAATCTGTCAAACTACAGCTTGTGGCCACTGTCCCATGTTACATCAACTGGTGGAGAAGAGTTTGGCTCCAGAGTCTTTTCACCCCCCTGAAAAGTAACTGTTGGCTTGGCCCTTAGCTGCTTCTTCACCAGAGCAAAGGAGCCCACCTCCTTCAGTCACTCCTCACAAGCCCCTATCTATCTTGGCAGGCCTCCAACAGAGCCTGCCTAGTTTCTCCACATCTCTCTTGAACTGGGGGTCCCACAGCAATATGCAGTATTCCCAGTAGAGCCTCACCAGTGTTGTTTAGAGGAAGGTAATAATTTCCCTTGGGAATGACAGTTTCTTTCTTTCCCATAACCTCAAAAATCTTTTCAGTTCCTAAAAATGTCCAAGGCATGTTTCTTACTGTGACAGCGATGGCTGGAAATACAAAAATCACACTTGCCTTTATCTACCTTGAAAAAAATACAACCTAATCCAGTAGATGCATCTTCTTCATCCTTGAGCCATAAGCACAAGCCTTACAGTCTCCTGCTGCAAGGGGCAATCTGCTGCTCTACAACAAGCCTTAGATGCAATACATGTTTTCAGGCAGTGATAAAAATGACAGTGCAGAGGCAACATCCTCTAATTTCTACACTATGGACTTGTTTTGTTAAGCTTCATTCCTGGATTTCTGCTGTTTAAGCACTTGAGGTTTAATGCCTGGCTCAGGACATGTTGCTATTCAACCTTTAGCAGAAATCCCCTTTAACTGTTTTTACTGCAAGGGTTCTGCATGGCATTACTATGGCTGTAGGGCTTGACACTATGGAAAGGAGAAGCTCTGCCCTGAGCTACCTACAAGCTAGTTAGACTTCTTGCCAAGACAAGCAATCTCTGTAGAAGCAACCTTAAGCTGCAGCTTCACGTCAGCTCTGGCACTGTAAAGCCACTCCTTCAGGGCAGAACAGAAGTGGAGAATGCGAGATGCACTGGCTGTTTAACAGACTTGCCCCTCTGCCCTTACAGCACATTCAAGCACATCCCTTTTGGATCTTCTCACATGCCATGGCTGCAGTGCTGTATGCACCATGGCAGTAAGCCGTTTACTTAAACAGTCTAAAAATGAAGAAGCCCAAACATCACAAAGGGTGTGTATTCCAAGCATAACCTCCCACTCCCACCAACTTGTTTTGCACAAACACAGCTATTTTACTGCATTTGCACTGTGATGTTGGCATTTCTCCACAAATTCTTTGCTAAGGCAACGGGAGTGAATAAAAGAACCCCAACAGTCTTTCCATGCTGCCCTGGGCTTCCAGTCTGAGTACCACATACTTCAAAAGAAGGTATCAAAACACTGCTTGCACATATAAGTTGTGAAACATGCCATGGAGACTGGGACATCTCTTTTCAAAAGCTCCTCCTTTGCCTGACATACATAAGGGCATTCCTTGCCATTTTCATTCTGGGTAGTCAACTGCAGGACCTACTCTTACAAGGGTCTCATTCGGTGCTCGCTGCCCAAGTTACATACCATCTGTGTATTCCTCAGAGGAAGTGAGTGATAAAAGACTCTGTATGTCACTGCTTTCTGAATCTTGGACTTCTTTGCGTACAGGTCTACTGCTAGCCATGCCAGCTACCCAGGAAGAGGTAGCAGCCTGATGCACAAGAACAGTTTCAGAGCGCTGAGAGCCACTGGCTTCACACAGTCCAGAATGTCCAGGGGCTTCATCTTCTCTTTCAAAGCTATTGCGAGCCCCTTGGTCCTGCTGTTGCGTTTCTCTGGTTCCATTCTGACCAGCTCCCTCCGAGAGCACAATCTGCACTCGGGAGTCCGAGGGTGGAATGCAGTTCCCTGTGCTGCCATACACAGCTTCTTCATAGGATGGCAAGGCCACTTGGACACCATCCACCATGATGGAGACCTGATCTCCAGACACACCTTGGTCTCGCCTTAAAAAAAGAAACAAAAGGGGGGAGGAGGAAGAGGAGAAATCAAGTGGAGTATTTATATTTTAATATGTTACCATGAACTCCAGGAACCTCCCACAGCAGAACTCTAATGCTCACCACTGACTTATTTACGGGAGGACAAAAACATGAATGGTGGTTTAACAAAGTCAAGCAAGCATAGCCTTGCAGCCCTACTATGAATTGCCATAAAGATGAACAGGGGCTGTAATTCAGAGTGCCTGATGGATTTAGCAGCGAGAGCTGAAACAGGTTACAGCGCTTCCCACCTCACCTGCGTCCAGCTAAATTTGACACAGATCATGATTCAGAGCCCTCTGCTGTCAGCAGATAAAAAACAAGCTCTGACCACTGCTGATTTCAGCTTGTTACACTGATATACTCTGCAACACCCAGCACTGCCTTTTCTGCCACCTCTGCTGCTGGTGACACAACCTCTGGTGGGGCAGCTCTTAAACTGGCACAGTGTGAACAACCTCAGCTCACAAATAACCTAGGCCAGAGTCCTAAGACTGAATATTTCTTTTCCAGTGGTTTGAACTTCCTCAGAAAAGCACAGGCTCCACGTCTCAACCTCCCCACTGCTGGACAGCCATATCTGCTCTTCTTTAAGGCGCACTAGTAGCTGGTTCAGAAGAGAGAGTCCACAGTGGCTTTGCTGACCTCAGCCAGTAGCAGTGTTATGGCTGGGACCCTCCTCCCATCCACAAACCCAGGGCAGGAGGTTTCTTTTCCCACAGTGGGGAACAATGGCAGATTTGCATGCTAATCAGCAGTACTGCCTGCACTCATGTCCATAGGATCTCACGAAGAGACTGGGGGAGATGCACATATATACCCAGACACATACTGTGGTAGCTATCCAAGCCTACAAGGCACAGGAGATTACCTATAGCCAGGTATGGCATCATCAGATGCATGTCTGAATGGGGCCTGCAGCTGGGTATCACAGATCACCATTTCAGACTACTGCTGGGCCATGGGACAGAGGTGCCACTGAGAGTAGGTAAGTTGCTCCAAAATGGATGTCGAAACCAAGTAAGTACCTTAATGCGTTTCTGTGGCAAAGAAACAGGATGCCTCTGAGTACCTCCAAACCCCAGCTACACTTACCTGCTATGATGGAATGACTTCAGCTTTGGCTGCAGCAAAACAAACAGCACAACCAAGAGCAGAATCAGGGCGACAGAGCTTGCTGTGGAGGCTACTATGGACAGCGTGGGTACTCCAATTGTTGGGGGAGAGTCCTTTTCTACAAAACCAAGAGGAACAGAAGGTAAAATGATCCACTCCTTTAAATCACTGTGACAAAAAAGACAAAACATCCACATTGCCTGGTCTCAGGAATTACACTTGGGCACATATATGAGGAACCCAAGTTCCCACACGGTCAGGGCATACCAGCTCTCTCATACAGGACAGTTCAGAGCCCAAGCTGACATCTCTACAACAGCTATACAGGGAATCTAAAATAGAACATGCACATAGAAGCGTCCTTTGGAAAAAAACACAAGACAAACAGAAAAGCAGTGCAAGCAGGCCATGGGCACTGATAGATGGTGGTAAGGGTCATGTAACATACAGATCTGGCTGAGCAAAAGCTAAAAAATGCCCTATGTCACCAGCAAGGCCAATAATTGTCTATCACAATAAGCAGGGTATTTTAGGCCAAACAATAGAAAAAGTTCCAAATAATGGGTTTTCTTGGCTGAAGGAACAGCGTCCCAAAGGAAGGGGTGGAAGTCACCTGGGTGGGTACATATAGGACACAGCAAGTATTCAGTTCCTCTCTCACACAAACATTCCAGGAACAGAGAGAGAAGACAGCTGTTGCTTCAGGATGCAGAGTTTTCAGTGTTAGACACATGTGCCCTGTTCACATCACTCCTAACTTTCCTTAGCTGAGCCCTGTGACTGTATGGGAACCAATCTGGCTTTTAAAGGGCCATTGCAAGACAGGAATACATTGGGTGTGGAGAGAGAAAGGCCTGCAGCTGGTATTGCTGAACACTGCATATTATGCCTAGAATGCAACACTAGTTCTTTCACCTCCCTAGAGCAAATAGCTGCCTGTATATGAGTTGCCTCTGTTGCTAATTTACATCTTTGGTAGAGATCTGAAAAACCTCACCTCTCCATTGGCAAATACTATTGTGTATTTCACTTTAGAGATATTCCCATATATGCAATTCCTTTTTGCTATATTCAACACATTCTTCGGGAGCATAGGTCTCAAACTGCAGGACAGGGGATGCAGGACACATATGCAGGTAGGGATGAGGGAAAGAGCAGCATGCAAGCAGAACAAAAAAGCTGGAAGACCATTGGTTTTAAGCCTCCAGCCTGAAATCTTTGCCCAAAACAGGCATGCAAGCTGGAGGTCAAACCTACGGTTATTTTGAACTTGTTTTCCTGAAATTTTTCAGAAGTAGCTTGACCTCTTAGCAGGTTAAAAATCCAAACCAAACCAATCACAACAAAAACACAAACAAAATCACACAAAACAAAACAAGCAAACAAAGCCAACACAAAACCAAAAAAAACCACAATATCTGGTACATTTTTCTCTATGGCAAATAAGTTTGAGTAAGGATCTCCATTTTCAGCATTACTAAGGGCTCTCTGAATATGCTGACAGGAAAGAGGGTGGGAAAAAAAGAGTGCTCCATTTTCAGCACCAGTACATGATGCTGTAAAACTGCTCGCTATCCAGGGTACACTCCAGCACATTCACCATCTCATGTTCCAACAGGATGCTAACTCGTACAATAAACTGTCAAAAGGCCATGGGGCTGACAGGCTCAGAGCTACACAAAACATCTGGTAACTGCTAGGAATTTCATTTACTCTACAAAGAGCAGGTGGGACCTTACCCATTACCAACCATGTCTTTCTCATTACTGTCTCCTAATCTCATCCTCCTTCTAGCCCTGTGAAAGACACCAGCTAGTTAAACATCGGCTGACCAGCTGTTCAGAGCCTGTGCTGTGAAAGCAATGGCTTTTTCCCTGGGTCAGACTTCTGAGGCTCTGTATGTTTGATAAGGCCACTGACTCTTCAGAATGCTAAAGAAATCTGAGAGATTTCTGCTCATCACAACACAGACCCTTCAGCTTTGATGTAGGCCAAGTGCCACCAGGCAGAAATGCCACCCAGAGAACACTACCTGCAATAACAGAGCTTTGCTCTCCAGCCTGGGTATAGCAAGAGGGAAGGAACCACCGTGGAAAGCAAGCTTATGCCGATTTGAAAAACCTCTTCAGGATCTGGTCGCTGCCAGGTAAACTCCCAATTCCCTTCCTTATACATCATAGGAAGGAGCTATAGGAGTGGCTGTGACAGAGACACCGAGAAGACAGTGTCTTTGGGACAGGACAGGATGTTCCACAGATCGTAGGTACGCCGTGAGCTCCATAAAGAGCTTTAAGACGGTACTTTCCTGTTTCCTTCTGATTAAGCTAACACATTTTGCTTTATGGATTACTGGACTTCATCCTGGAGTGTACACTTTGCTGGTTCAGGATGACTGAGCAGTAAGACTCCACCAACAAGCCAGACTTGAAGAGGGAAGGCAGATCTCTCTTTATGCAGTACGCGTACTTTTAAAACCAGAAAAGCTGTAGACAAACTAAGAGCTGTATGATGAACATTTTCCTGCAAACATTTTTACTTTCCTGCTTTGATGGAGGAACTCCTGTTCAGCTGGGAGACACACACAAAACAAAGCTGTCCACTTCCATTTGGAGAGAAGTAGAAACCATGTCAGCAGTGTTCTTTCCTGACAGTACAGTGAAAAGCAGCACCATCGAGCTCTTTACCAAAGGAGGGCAACAGTTACTTAACCTGTCTGGATGGAAAACTGGCTCTACATAATCACACATGCACTTGCACACGTGGACATACAGGTACGCCACGGAGGGAAATGCGCTGTCATCAGAAGCAAAACCAGACAGCAGGGACAATGCTTCAGTCTGGACCCCTACCACTTCTGGGATGTCAAAATAAGAGGCTCCACCTAAGTAACAAGTTGCCTCCTTTACACTCCTTTCCATGGGTTATCTCCTTGTGTTAGGGACTCTGCACCTGCACCTCATGGGCTCTTACAGAAGAGACGTTTTTAATGAAGAGCTGTGATTATGAGCCCCATGTATACAATTGCTGGAGTAATGAGAGGCAGCTGTATGGACTTCCTCAGCATCACACTGTCACAGTGTTTAAGGGTAATCTGAAAAGCCAATGCAAGGGCAGTTCTAACTGTTTCACTGGAGTCAGGGAGCACTCACCTGGACTGAGCCTGCAGCTGACTTCCATGGCTGGGTTCCACTCTCCATTCTTGCAGGTCAAGTATTTATAATCTCCTTTCAGCATGTAGCCTTTGACGCAAAGATACTCAATGACACTGCCTGATGTCAGAGGGTTGTTGCAGGGGCTAGGGTGGCACTTATAGCCTCCATTCTCAGGCTGTGGTGGCTGGGGACAATCTAGAGAAAAGAGAAAGCATCATGGAGGATATCTCAGAGAAAGACATCTGATGTACAATAGATAAGGCACATAGGCAGACTTCCACCTATGAACACCCACTAAATCAAGAAGCTACCAAAACCAAGAGGAAAGACTGTTACACGATGGCACAGAACACTGCTGAGTTTCACCTCTGATGTCTTCTGTGATTGCTAAATACTGCTTGTTACCCCAGTAGTACAATCTAGTTGGCAGTCATCAAACTGGCGATATTGTTGAACAGAGACACAACAGAGATTCCACATGAAAGAGGTGCAGAAAATCTTTGGCAGTATCTTTTCCCCACAGGGAAACACAATCAGGCTTTCCTATTAGCCTGACAAGGTAAAAAGTGTGAGATTTCTTACTGAAACAACTGAAGAAAGCAAACATTCCACTATACTACGGGTACAACATCAAGGTACAGACATTGCCATAAGGCACCCTGGAAGCCACACTGATTTCAGCTATTTTACATAGCTATACCACCAACAGTATGGGAAACAAAGCTCTGCTGCAGTAGGAATAAATATTCTAGTCTATTTTAACAAGGACCTAGTTATACGACAAAGGCATTTCTAAAAGCCCCTCTGTTTACCTATGTGAAGTTTGGAATGCTGAAGGCACTTTACAATTCTCCTTGCATCTCCCCTATGCTGACTAATGGTATAGACACAGCACATGCCAGAAATTTTCCTGTAGAATTTTTGATAGCCATTCAAATAAAAACAACAAACCACAACTGACGAAACTGCACTAAACCCAAGATAGTCATATTGCGTAGAAGTTCCCCTCCTCTGGCAGGTCACAGTGACCTGGCAGAACAGCCCCAACACTGTATCTGCTGGGGCTGAATGAGGGAGAAATCCGTATTTTTTTCCCTTTAAATCCACATCAGCTTCTCAAACTTCACAAAAGAAAATACTGCAAAGATTTCTCATGAACGATCTTGCAGCACAGAAAACCAGCTAACCTACCCACACCCTATTCCATCAGAGCGTGGTGATCCAGGCCTGCCCGTAAACCCTAGAGCACGCATTCCCACCTTCTGCCTCTAAGTGTCCCACTTACTGTGGGACAAACAGCAAGAAACAGCTGGGCGAAGTTCAAGTAACTGGATTTTGGGAAAGGTCTAAGCTTCATTCCACTGTGGAAAATTTTGCTACACTGCTGCAGTGGAGGTGACCCTTGAACCTAATCACATGTGCGAATGCATCATAGGTACTGCCTTGTAAATGCCAGTAAATCCCAAGATGAAATGCTGAGCAAAGCCAAAAACCCTCTGGTATGAGGACTGCCAGCTTTATAACAGCAATTCAATTTACTTCTTGAGAGAAGAGGTTAACAGGGGTCTAAGCGCCAGCTCTTCAAGATGACTTTGTTCTTGAGGAGATTTATTCTTCAATAAGCTTCAGAGAAGCCACTGTTCCATGCCTCCCGAGTATTAACTGTTGCCTCTTCTGTTTCTTTATTTTTCCTTTCTGCAATAATTTCCCATTTTGTAACCAGTATTTTAACCCTTTGCCTTGTGAAGCTAAAACTTGCTTTCACTTTAAGCCTGTCCAACACTTAGGGTCGGCTGGGATCAGCTGAAGAGACAGATTCAAGGCACATTTCACTTTCAGGCACATAGACATATACCCTGCTTCATCTGCAGCCCAGGAGAAGGGTTTCTTGCTAAATAGCAAGAGCACCAGAAATCTTCTCAGCAACTTAACGTGTACCTGTCTAGGCAATGGTGGACAGCCTTGGGGGAAAGCTATTTCTGCCACAGCAGCGGACAAAACTTCAGGTGCAGAGAGGACAACCTTCTTACACCTTTTTATGCCAAACGAGATGCCTGGAATTGCTTGTGAGCCACACACAGCATCTTTCTAACTGACTGCAGCAAACAGAGTTTGTTCCTGCGTTCCCCCTTCTCCTGACCATGACCACTGTGCCAGGAGCTCTTTTGGACCAGGCAGCAGCTCACAGTTTGGTTCCTCTTCTGTTGCAAAGTGCCATCTACACTGATGAGTTATAAATACCACATCAGTCACTTACAGAACCCTGGCTTGGCCTCCTCACTCAAGGGCTTGCAGCTACCCAACTGCAGACTGGCTTTTTCCTCAGCTGCACTTGGCACACAAAAGGAGAGAAGCAGCTGGTAAGTGTGTTCAGTCAGTTGTCCCTGATTCATCCTCTTCACAGGGAAGAGATTGCAGAATTAGTCACCTCCCCCTTTCCCCTCCCCTCTCCCCCCCCCCCCCCCTTAGCTCATTTGTCTTCACAGCATCCAAGAGACTCACAAGTATTTTAAAACATCACCTTCACTGTGATGGAAGAACACCGTTCATGTGATGAGGGAAAGATCTGGATCAGGCAGCCAGAACACCAATGCCCTCCACTCTCAACCTGACTGAATACCTCTGGGCAACCCCAGCTTCCTTGGAAGACTATGTGAACTGTCCTTTGCAAGGCACTCTGAGGGGAACAGAGCATCTCAGAGCCTGCAGCTTTGGAGAGGGCTATTAGACACTGCTGATGGCTTTAAAGACTGTTGGAGATGGCCCAGGCAAGGGCAATTAGGTAGGTAAAAGATGAACTGGTGGTGCCTGAAAACCTGAGGAAGTCAAATACCTCTGCTTGCTGCTGGACCAAGCTCCCCTTCCCTGGTATCTCTGACAGAGCTCAGCACCTCTGCAAACCAAGTCCCATCTCACTGTAACACAGGCACCCAGGAAGCTCAGAACAGACAATGCAGCATTTCACAGCAGTGACCGGTTCCTAAGTTTTCAGCACCTTCAGCTTTCACATACTCCATAATGAGTTTCTTCAATTGCCTCCATACACGTCATCTAAAATGGGGCTAACAGAAGAAAAGGTAGTCTGATTCTGCACTACCATTTATCTCATAAAACACCAGCAAAGCTTATGCCCCAAGTCTGCAGCTTGGGGCATTAAGTTTTGCTGATGTTTCATGAGATTGTAACAATCAACCCCCTTCCCAATAGCCTCAGCCCAGACTCACAATGGCACTGGGTTATATCTGAAATACAAAGAAACATGCAGGAATTTCATCAACTCCCTCCCTGAAACACATGCTCTTGGAAGCATCCCAGCGCTTATGAGACATCTTGAAACAAACATTCATGCCAGGTAGGGAAGAGAAAGAGAGCCAAGTTATGGAAGTTATCAACTTCCTAGGGGGTTGCCAACATCCTACACTTGCATTTTGAACCATCACGCTTTGAGGACGCACCAAAACAGTGGTTTTGAATACTGCAGCACTGTGCACAACAGGAGAAAAACTCTACTCCCAAAGGCCCCATTTCTAACGTACTGATGTTCATGACTGCTCCTGCGAGAGCTGGTTCTCTGCCAGCATACACTGCTGGAAAACAGGAAGGAGATAACAATTGATGAGAAGTCCAAACATTTTGAACTCTGTTCAGAGGTAAGGAAACTGTCATTTCCAGATTGACAGGCAGAAATAAAGCTATGCACTGGGGTTTCTGCAAGTGTCATTCCAAAATACTAGGTATTTAATACATAGACTGTTTTTATACACAAATGAGAAACTTTTAAGTCAGTATATACCTACAGGTAGTTTCCTATCATAGCATTCTGTGTCTATGTCACATAAGAAAATACTGTCCACTTGCTTTCTCTTCTACCAGATTCACAGACAGCTGTGAGGGGTTGGAACATGGCTTCTTTTAGAAATGAAAAGAGATGTCAGTTGGCCAAACTGATTAACCTAATCACCAAAGGATGAAATGGACCTTCCACGTGCTTGCTGAGCTGAAGCTGAGCTGTGGTCCTGAACACTGACCTGAGGAAGAGCTACAAAACATTTCTGTCATAATGTAAAAATGACACAAACCCAAGCCATGGTTACAGATAATACCACAGATGGAAGCATGTGGTATATTGTCTGCTGACATAAAAGCGAGGGGTTTATATACTCAGAACACAAAACACAGGAGCACAGCTGAACCTTGATCTCCGAGAGCGAAATTCCCATACAAGCAGATGACTTCCAAAGCCCAAGCAGGTTGTACCTGTTGTGGCAAGAACCAAGTACAACACACTTCACTTACACATACAATGTAAGATTAAAACAGTCTGACTGGATAATGGCTACAGAACTACAAAAACTCCCTAGTAGTGACCTATGCATGAGCGCAACACCCTACAAGAGGTGACCGACATGCACCTCTCCACAGTCTTGTTTTGCTTGGTAGTGTGTTTCTTTTTTTCAACTAGTAAGACTCCCAGATCCTAGCAGGAGCCTCACACCCCTTTTTCCTGCACCAAGCACCTGACCTGTGTTTCACTCACCTCTTTTGCTGGTTAGTCTGACCACACAGAAATGAAAACCAAATCCTCCTTAACTGAATGCATTCTTATAATGAAAAGAAAAAACCCAAAAGGCAACAAAAAAACACCCAGAACAAGACAACAAGAACAGACAAGATCATTGTTGCTAGAGTGAGTAATTTGTAACTGGGGAGCACAAACCATTGCATTGCTCACCTCTAGTGGGCAGACAGATGGGTACAATATTGCTTAACAAAGGGATGTTTTGCACTTATCGTCCAGAACCATTTATTCTACTTCTCCACAGCAAGGTGCAAAGGTCACTATAGCTAGAATGAGAACAGTTCTGACAAATCAGAGTTGCTGTTTATATGAGTCAGGCCCAAATCCCAGCAACTACAAGAGGAAGCTGGACTGAGCCTCAGGTAAATTCCTCACTGACTATACGAGTGCTCTAGCATGTTTGACCATCCTCAGAGCAGCGCCAGAGGAATCCTACATGTCAGTGCTGAAACATTCTGAAGGCAGTCCTGGTAAACAATGTCTGTTCTACTGGATCCCCCAAACATGTGCCCTGTTTGGATATGTTAACATCTCCTGACTTTTTAGACAACTGCAACTTTTGTGGGATGTGAAGACTGGAAATGGAAGATCCTCAGCTCTTTCCTCATCTACAAGA